TTTGAATATAGTTTACAGCCGTAATTTGTAGCAGAATATTGAAAATTTTCGCAAAGATTCTTTTGAAAGAGTCTCTTTTGAAAAACTCTTTTGATTCAATCTATGGAGGCTCTATCGAGCGGATGGGAAAATTTAAACCTTGAAGAAAATTGATATGAAATGAATAAAAACGATGAAATTATTAGTCTACTGCTTTCGTGTCTAACGCACCGAGATATTTTTATACGATCGTAGCAATATAGCAAAAGCAACGAACAATTTAGAAAAAAAAAGTAAATGAAACAACACGTCACGCAACACCAACCAGCCAACTAACAGATTCAAGTGAAACACTCTGCTACCGCCGCACGAGCAGTTGATGAGCTCTACATACACAAAATCGTTTGATGTGAAATTAATTCCAATTCATTAATAAAGCAGTTTTTGCTATGTATTTCATACGTAGCCTAACGAGTATGAGTCAAAATGAATCGGAAATAAAAAGATTGTGATTTAGTGAAGAAATTTGATTTTGCTAATCAATAGACTTGAAGAGAAAAAGGAAAACAAACTCAATTGATAGAAACTTTATCAATTTTACAGGAACTGAGCGCGATTAAGCCAATTTCATCAACACATTTTAACTAAAAACCACATTTACATGTTGCACCCAGGAATTTAGGTTCTTTTTTCCCGTTATGTAGGTCAAATATCTTGGTAGTGAGCATGCTAGAGGTCTATGGGGTATCAAACACACACGACGGCCGGTCGATCATTTAGTATGTATTCTTTAGAAATAAACCATTCTCCGTCAATAGGAAATCGTTCGAACATTATTGAACAGTCAACTTTGCATCTCTTTTCGAGGTCACAATGGCAAAAACGATGCCAACAAACAAAGCGCTACCTCTCTGTGACTTAACTGTATCCCGGGATGGTGTTTTCATCACAACAGGATGCAATACAACAAAAAAATGGAACTATACAATAGATTCAATCTCGTACGGTGTACAAGATTTAGTGTACACCCGCGTGTTTGCAATGATTGTAGTTAAAGATAATTTTAATATCAAAGATCCAAATCCATTCGAAGTGCATGCATTTGTCTGTGATTCTAGGTAACTGAAATAAATCAGTAAACCCAATAGATCATATATTGCTTGGTTTTAATTCGATTTTCATTCATTTTTCGACAGAGCACTTGCCAGAAAACTGACGTATGCATTGGCCGCATCATTCCAAGAATATTCAAAACGTGTTAAGGAAATTGAGCAGCAAGAACTGAAAAATGACTCACAAACAGCTAAGAAGAAGTTTGCGATTGATCTTCGTACACCTGAAGAAATGCGACAAACAATTGACGACCAAGAAACTGAAGCGTAATATATCTTACTCCATACTTTTCTATCACTTTCCTGCGTTTAAATGCATACTACTAGTAGTCATTACACCAAAAATTTTAAGCCAATTCCATTTTGATTGAACTATAAGTTGCAGAATGTTCCACGAAGAAAATGTTTATAGAATTTATCTCTTATGATAGCACATAAATACTAAGCAAGTTTGCGATTATTATTGCAAATTGGTTTTCAATTTTTTCTATACCATTTGTAAATGACCTCACCACTTAATCATGAATTGGAGCAAGTGCATTAATTTAAATTGAGTGAATCAAGAAGAAGGTATACAGCTTTATACATCTTTCCAAAATAAAATAAACACCGCACTGAAAATATACATATACAAATATATTCTAGTAATGCCGCATAATTCAACTGGGTTCATTTGTTGTTGTTTTTTTCTCAGAAAAAAATAGATTTTTTTGTGATGTGTGTAACACTATAGTACCTAAATCTATTTTCGTATAAAAAACACAAAATGAACAATATTTTAATTGTTTAAATCGTAGTTTTCGATAAATGTTTTAATGTACAAAAATTCTTGTAAATAAAATGTGAGAAATGCTTGTATACATGTTTGTTTTTTATATACGTTGACTTTTCTTTTTAGTAAGAGCACTTTCATACAAATTTTAACAAAGTAAATCAATTTGTTGTTCACAGATCAGCATTTTTCGTTGCAAATACATCAATTGCTTTATGTCGGAATAATATTCCAAATTTCAGTGACATCAGGAAGTCCATAAAACAAAAGCAATTTCGCTTTACCTATGCACGCGAATGACATTCCCATTCCAGAGACACCACCTGGTTTCATCGAAAACAAATGCGGCTGGTTTTTCTTTTAAGCATTTATTGTTCTTAAATTGTATGATAAAATACAAAATTTTGAATGGTTAAAAAATCCAAAAACTTATTATTCAGCGCCTAAGCTATAGTTACAGTTTTTATTTGTGAATGCTGCTTGTATTCAATATATATATATTGAAATATATGATATTTCGTGTTCATCCAAGAGAAACTTTAGCTAATTGGAAAACAAACGGATGATATTTTTTGTGAGCACAAATGAATCTTCTTTTCATTTTTATAAGTTGGGTATCATTTTGAAGAGACAAAAATGACTAAGCACCCATATTAAGACCAGTCGATTACAAATTGAATTCAATCAATATTCTTCAAACTATAATGACAAACAAAACACTGAAAAAAGTTTGCATCACCACGAAAGCTGAGTTCATACTGATTTTATTTTTACGTCATCATCACCAGGCTTATAAATTGATGTATTTGACTGCGAGACGCTCGACAATGTTAGATTTAGTTTTTATACGTACACTGTAACATGCATGTTATATAGGATATAAATGCCTGTAATATGTTTTTATATGTATATGGCAATCGTTAAATAATCCACAACGTTATTTTCTTTAATTCATTCTTTAAAAGTAAACGAAAACTCGTGGTGCGTTACATTCTGTTCAAATGATAACAAAATCTGTTCTTTTAATTAGTTGTTCATCTTGACACATGAGGCTTAAAATCATTATTGCTAAACAGAAAACAAAAACTCACAAAAATTATATCATTACCGTAAAAATATCGTAGTTTATCTAATTATTTTAATTTTTATCAACAAAAGGAATGACTTTTTTTTTACTAAAACTCATTATAAATTTGGTATTTTGTGTTTTACTCCTTCCACACAGAGAAACTTATTCCCAGAATTAGTATTGAAAATTCTATGATATAGGTGGATTTTTTTTCCACGGTAATTCTCATTCGATTTGTCTATGCGATAACTATCATTTTGACATTAATTCGTGAAGGTTTAATTTGTCATTTGTGTTTGACATTCCTCTTCACGGTAGAGCACAAAGCTGTCAGAGCACATGTTGTGAACTTATTGTTATAGAAGGATTTTATTGCAGTATTCTTAGATTTGCTATATTATAGAAATTTCAGTTGAAATTCTGGAATTTCGCATGTGATTGCATTTCTTATGTCTCGATAATCTTTCATTTAAGGATGATTATAGAAACAAACAAAAACATGTTGTCTCTCTTTGCTAATGTGATGGGGTTTTTGCTTGGATTTGATTGTTATTTTTTTTACAATTGTACAACATCCTCTATTAATAAAATATCAAAATCATGGTTTGTTGTAATTATTTTTTTGTGAATGGTTTTTCTGCTCACATATGTCATTATAAAAACAAATTTATATTTCTGCAATCTCTGTTTGCAACCCAATCCATCCATTGTTTGCGTTTACATTACAAACTATTATGCTTTCGATATTTGAATTATTATTACATGGGTCCATCGATGGTGCTCACACTTAATGTACAGTAATACAAAGTGCGAGCAAATAAGAAGAGGGCAATCAAAAATGCGCCAACATAGGCTACATAAATTCCACCGTTTTTCTGAAGAAAAAAAAAAGAGTAAATTTTCATTAATGAACTAGGAACGTTTAGACTTGATACGATTCGGATACACACAGCAGCATATTTGTAGGTGGTCCATGTAACACAAATCCCAATGATCAAAAATAAAATCCCTAGACCTAAGAACAGAATGCCACGGTTACGCGTGAATTCGGGTCCAACTGATGACACCTTGCGGCAATGTGGGCATCTGGCTAATGCATTGTGCAATGTATTGAACTTTTATGGACGAGAAATGGCAAATGCAATATTAAAAGAGGAAAATAAATTTACAAAAATTATGTATGTTCAATTATTTGAACCTACTAAAAATGTATCTGAGCAATGGCCACACGTTACACGGCACATTCCTGGTAATGATGAAACAGGGGGAGTCACAGGGCTTGGTGCTAAATTGATAATTCGTTTGCAATTTGGCCGCGGACAAGCGATTCGTTGCGATGAACTCTTGCAAATGAGCAGACAATTACAAGGGCAACGTACATACTTTTTTCCAGGTGGCGCATTACGAATTGGCTGTAATTTTGAAGAAAAATAACACGGAAATTGAAGCATTCTCAAAAAAACATCACATCGCAATTTTACCGTCGCCTCTTGGCACTGAAGACATTTGACCACGTGCTGCTCCTTCTTGCTCGAAATATCTATCATCGCTGCACATACTCTACATGTTACCATAGGTACTCCACCACTCGAAGCTTGTTGGAACGGCGGCGGCACTTCATTTGGTCCGATTGGTGAAACCGTTGCCCCTATTGAATAATATCAAAGATATCAAGTGTTATTGACCGAAGACTGAGGATTTTTAAATCCTGATTTTCTATCTGTTTGCACAATACGTTCTATCAACATCATTAAAAGCATTGTGCGCGTTATTATCAAATGAAATGAAATAAGAACAACCGAAATCATAAGTAATATTGATAAGAATGCATCGTCCGAAGGCTCCAATTCAATTCAAGCGGATATACGTTCTTTTATTTGCATCGTTATGTTCTATCAAATTTTCCAATTATATGGACCGTCGAGAGAAAAAAAATAGATGGATTGGAGTGTTTGAAACTTGAATTCGTCAATACTGTAATAATCACGGCTGAAAAAACCGAAGTGTGATAGATTTTCGCATGCAATCGAATTTCTTTTGCGTACATCAAATTTCATCTCAACGCTTCATATGCCGATTTTAATTTTTGATTGAGCAAAAATGCATTAATATCTTTGGGATATGCACTTAAATAAACGAAAGCAAAAGTCGGCACGGAAAAAGGAAAGTAAATTGGTGGTTCACCGGTTGGAGTTAAGATGAAGAATTAAAATTTAAAATCCGTATTGAGGATTCAAATTGAATAAATTAATTAAATTCAACTTGTAAGTATCAGTGAATCGATTTTTTTTAAAACTTCGATCCACTGCTATTGAGAGAAAGAGATGTGTGTGAGTTCTCTTAATGCAATATTCAACTGCATAAAACAAGTTGGTAAATAAAAAGTTGACTTTTCTATATTGCTCGTTAAGATATACTCTGTATATGTGTAATGAATGAATCCCATTATGGGATTGGGGATTCCCATATAAAATTTCAGCGAAATGTGTACAAATTGGTTTTCCTTTGTACTGTAGCATTAGAATGAGTCTGATATGATGTGAAAATACAGTTTGTTTGTGTTTAAAAGAGTCGAGCTTGATGGAAAAATTACAATTAGTATATTTATTATCGAAACGAGAGTGACTCATTCGAGAAAAGTCAAATAGTTCGGCCGTCGCCGCTTTTTCGATTTGTTTTGTTTTTCGCCTTTTTTTCGTTTTTCGCTGCTGAATATGTATATTACTAACGCAATTGTGACATAAACACGCCCGTGCCTGTGACCAATACGATTCATATTGTTGTTCTGTGTAAATGGTATCACTAAGTATACAAGACAAGTTGCACAGTCACAAATTTCTTAATTGAACCGTATGAAATGAATTCTCTTTAATATAAAAACAAATGGCTCAATGCGACCAGAGCTAATATGAATACAAAAGGGCTACAAACAAAATGAAACTAACAGTAAAAAATCTGTCGGCGAACTAAAAATATACGAAAAACCTACCGCCAGTGTTTTCACCTTCCGCCGTGTAATCTGTTTTCGCATCATCTTTATCTAATAATGGCTGATTTTCGTCATTTTTGGACATTTTATTTCAATTTGAGATAAACCTCACACCACCAACTATATGTCTGATTTTGATTTTATTGATGGTTCAATTTTTGGTATTTCTCTTTTTTCAACAGCAGATCTTCTTACCGAACACTATTCACACTCTTCTTTATTATTGACCAAAAATGAAAAACGAACAAATTTAATAGAACGAAAAAAAATTGGAGACGCAAATGAACATTATCACTGATATTAAAGCCACAATTAAGGCAAATCCCAATGCGATATTGTCCTAAACAAAATACGTAAATAAAATAAACGTCCTACAAAATGATTTGTGTAGACCTCTTCTTTTGATTTCCAAAAAAAAAAATATTTACAACCTATTTCGCAAGGTGAAAGCAAACACACAATTGCTTTTGAGGCAATAGTTTGTTGTTATTCGTGGATGTGAGCCAATGAAAAAAAATAATCAAAACGTACTGAAATCAATCAGTTCATTTCTATTTAATTTGCTCTTTCTCGGCGAAAAGAACAATGAGATTACTAAGTCTTCTTCTTTTTCTTGTTTATCGGATAACCGTATTGATGTTGGTGTGTACGGCGTATTCACTATAATCTTAATGCATGTTTGTGTGAATCATTTTTTTTAATACATTTTCCCTGTCAAATATATACATTTAAATTGTTCTGTGTTACCATTTTGGGGTTGTCACTTTGTAGAGATTTGACGTGCAAACACAATAATTCACGCCATCTACAACTATATTTTCGATTATAATTCATTTCGTTCAATATATTTAAATATATTTTTTTTTATTTAATCATTGAAATATTTGTCTTAGTAAAAGACAAAGATAGAACGAAAATAAAATAAATATACGAAAAACGGCATTTCAGTATTACAGTTTACAAATTGTGTATCGCTTTTGCGACCAACTGTTTTGAATTTAAAAAAATAGATGTATATTTGTTGTCATATTTTTATAAATTTTATTTGTATTGTCTCTTCATCTTCTTCTTTTGTTATTTATTTCGCCATAAGTCGTGTGATTTATGCCCATTTCCTTCAGAAAAGATACAAAAAGTGAACAGTTGGTTGATCGCTGCGAAAGTTATTCGTCGCGTTGCAGTGGTAATGAAGGAAATTGCTCACTCGATTTCTCGTCGCTACTATGTTGAACGCGATCAGCTTATGTTCGGAAACTGTGTGTGTTTGTGTGTGTATAGGTGATAGTAAGAGAAAACCTTAAGTTGCTGTACACATAAGTTGACGAGTTGGCAAGTGGTATATTCAAGTTGCCAACAAACTTATCAAATTAGTGGCTTGAATCGGCAGCAAATCGTTCCATTTGAAATATTACAATTAAGAAAATTACGATAATTCCGAATATTCATCATAGATTGAATCGAACACCACAATCGAACACGAAATTTGAATGCATTCAATTTTCCATCATTAACAATTAATTTCGGCTGTTTTTTTGTAATATCCATATTTTTTCATCAGCTCCCATCGATACGGTAAATTCAATTTTAAATTTGTTTTACCAATTATATCTATTTTTCTTCTGAAATAGGACTAAAGCGCCAAAAATATGTAGATTCGAATTAAAGCCCTTGTTTAACATCATTGGAATACCTTAAAAGATTCATTAAATTAAGTGCATGCTAAAATATTGACACGTACAACTTTTCTCTTCTTCTTATTCGCACTTGTAGGTTATGTCGCATTTGTGATACAAGATTAGACTACTAGTTAAACGACGGAAAATTTACATATCGCAAGTTTCCTCACGTATTGTCTTAATATTTTACGTTTATCAACATTTGCATTGCAGAATTTTTGACGGAAACATTTCCTCAACATTTTTCCTCAATCATCCTTACATCTATCTTCTAGAAAAAGATCCGCATATTCTCTTTAAACACGAGTCAAATCATCTGCAGCCAAAATGGATGAAGTAAATATCAAATATCTCAGTCAATTCAATCCAATTCTGATCGTACCTGTGTTATCAGCCGTTGTGGGGGCCATCTTAGTATTTGTATTTGGCTTCAAGCGTCCAAATGAGCCACGATTCCAATCAAGTTCATCGATAGACTCTCTGAAAAAGTCCAAACGAAAAGCAAACACAGCAAAAGTTTCAGATAACGCTGTTCAATCGTCAAAGCCACAAATTGTTTCATCAGCCAAAATAGGTGCTAGCAAAAAGGCAACCGATGCAGCAGCTGCTGTTACAAGTAAAAAAGGACCTGCAAATGAAAAGTCTAGCAACAATAACAATAACACAAGCAGCAGCAACAACAACATTAGTAAGAAAAAGACTGATGAGAAAAAGTCTGAGAATGGCTCGCCCACGAAAAAGATTGCCAATAAAAAGACCGGCAAAGAATCGGCAATTCCGATGAGCAAAAAGTCTAAAGCAAACAAAAACTTTTCGTCCGATAGTAATGGATACAATGAAAAACCTGCCGATTTTGATGATGGCGGTTGGTTCACGGTCCAATCAAAAAGCACCAAGCAAAAAAATAAGATCGACGATTCTGCTGGAAATCAAACCGAGAATGCGTCGCCAAAAGTGCAAGGTACAAAAAATAATAAATCATCAAAAGGTGCAAAAGCAGAAAGAAAACAGTCAGCTGCGCAAACTATTCTTACCGAATTAAAAAGTGCTTCCGATGATTCGGTGCCCGAACAACCAGCCACCGAACCAAAAAGTAACACCGCAAATGCTGTTGATGCACCGACACCAACAACAACATCAACATCACCACCAGAACCAACAGCGACAGCAGCCGCTGATAGTGAACCATCTGTCGTCGCAGTTGAATCAAATTTCGAGAAACAACCCTTGGCTTCTGTTTCACTTAAAGCTGCTGAGCTTAATACAAACGACAATGCGATAGCCTTTGATGAACTGGGTGAATGGACCGACGCTAAGCCCGATAGAAAGAGAGGTAACAAAAAGAAATCTAGAAAAGACTAATCCCTCTACCCGTCACATTCACATATTATTAAATATACTAATTAACAAAAAAAATTAAATTAAAAATGTTCGATGTGTGACTATATATCTAAATGTAACCACTTAAGCCGTTGTCTTTTTTTTATCGAGAATATATTCGTGTATAATAAATTGCCGGAGTTAAATAAAATAGATAATCGAATCGATAATATCTATTTAAATGTCAACATATAAATCGGTTTATGTACAAAATTTGTACTACAAACATCGGCAACATCAACAAATACAAGTAAATATAATAGAAAAAAATTCAATAAAAAATATGAACTAACGAAACAAACAGAGAGAAAAGTAAAAACTATTTAAAACGAACATATTTTTTAAAAAACTGATGATATGATGTCTTAAAGGCAACATTTAAATATGATAAATGAGTGATAATGATCGCCTTAAATACAGATTTTTATGATTGCAACATAAATGTAGCGCAAAACAATAAGCCGGACAGAACACACGAAACGATGAATCCCGAATATAAGTTATATAAAATACGCAAAAACATAAGGAAATATTAGGATTTGTCTTCCACACAAGAAATCACAATCATTTAAAGAAATGAAAGAAAAAATGAAAGTTTAGTTTTAAGCAGCAAGAAGGGTAAATAGGTGAAAGATTAACAAAAAAAATAAATCAATTGCCCAGCTAAGTGCTTGCATCATACGAAAAATCAACCAAGTAAGAACTTCATGAACTTGTTACGCTCAAAACAGAATAGAACTGAGATTTGAAAAATAAAATGGAAATACAAAAAAAATCACCGAGAAAAAGAATTTGGAAATGAGTAGAAATTTTTTCAATTCATATTTGTTTTTATTTACTGCCGTAAATCTACCACAAATATTTTGGTCTGACTGCAATATTGTCGTCATTAAGAGATTTAATTTTCTGGACATATGAGCGTCAGCATATTTGAAAGCATTAGTCTATTACATACAAAAATGAAGATAAAAAATTGTGTAAATACCGGGATGGTCGACTGGTGTAAATACAATGAGCTTATTGATATGCAATGATGATGGTGCAATGCAATGGTGTGATTTTTTTTTGGTTCGAACTGTTATATTATTCTTTTTTTACAATTGTCACAGCTATAAAAACCAATCATTTCAAATATCTCAAAAATATCGAATTAAGTTATGTTTGTAAAAACTTACGTTTTCCAATGGATTTTCTTTTGTTTTTGTTTTGTATTTGCTAAACTATTAATATAATTTGCATTCGAATGACTTGTTTTTTTTTCTTCAAATTATTTCTTTAACGTTCGATTTCCAAACACTTACTTTACTGAAATAAGTTAAGACGTTTTGTACTCAGCGATTTGATACGGAAAGGGCAGAAAAATCTTCAACAAAATAATACTTTTTTTTGAATATTTTCCATGCGATTTCCATTTGTTTAAGTGCCAACACCCTCGTTACAATACCTTTTCAAATACATACATTTGACGTAAAAGACTTCAAAAACTTCCACTTCAAGATATTTCTTTTTAAAGAGAAAGGTTAGATATTAGCATAACTTACGTCATTTAACGTTGATCATACATTTTTCTATTCACAACGTTCGTTCAAATTGGTGTTCATTTTTTTTGTCGAAAAATTTGTGCGAGAAATTGAAATTTCAACAAACACGAAGTCTATAATTTTATAGACAATTTCAAAAAATTCACGTTCTCGCTAAAACCCCAGAGCAATAGCAATTACGAAAAGCTTAAATTTCTATGTTGTTAACAGATTACACAAAACATATTTTTTTAGATTACAACACATTTATACAACAAAAAATGAATAAAATGTGAGACTTTAATGTAAATGACAGTTTGTTATTGAAACAATCAATTTAATACTATACTGAATAAATTCAAATTGATGTACTCAAAGTTCTGTAATGTATGCATTTTATTGAAACAACAGTTTTGATACAAATAAAATGATTTATTTATTTCATAGGTTTGAATTAATCCATACGAAGGTAAGAACGGGTTATCGTTCAAACTTTTTCTTGTTCCCTTTATTGCGGTCGATTTGCTTGAATTTGCGCTTTTTATCGTCATTTTTATTCATGGATTTGTATGTACCAAACCCGCCACCACCAACTCTCTTTTCTGGTCTGCTTCGAATTTTATGTGACATTCCTAAAATTACATAAATTGCACCGTTATTTTTCATTCGATTTTCGAAATGGCAAAAAGAATATGATTTTGAATTGTAACTCACTCAAATCGACTACCGGCGGAACAGTAAACCCAAAACTTAGAGCCACCTTCGCCAAATCCAATGTGTCAACATTGAAAATGGTTTTTAGTTGATGCGAATCATAGGCTCGAACATACGACTTGAATGCTTCTTTTGCTGACTGGTTCAAGAAATAGTTTTTCGAAATCAACTTTTCCAGCTGCAAATATTCAAATCCATAAATTTATAATTTTTGATAGGAATGAAACGCTTTAAAATGATATGCAATTGTTTACCTGTAGTTGAATATCGGCAATTTTGCTCCATGAAAATTCAAACTCATTCAATGGTACTTTTGCTTGTTTCAAATACCGCAAGAATCCCAATTCTTCGGGACGAAGAATCAAGAGAGCATGTCCAGAACTGCCTTCACCGCGTGCAGTTCGGCCAACACGATGAATATATTCCTATTAAAATGAACAATTATTAATGACATTCGAAAAAAAAAAAATTGTGAATATTGCTATACTTTTGGATCATCGGGTGGATCAAATTGTACGATCCAGTCAACGGCTGGAATGTCCAAACCACGCGCAGCCACGTCCGTACATAGTAGCGTACCAGATTCGGCATTGCAAAATTGGAAAAATGTTGTAGTGCGTTTGGTTTGCTTTTGCTTCCCCTGGAGAGAAGAAAAAAAACAAATTTTCATGTTCTTATCTATCTTGTTTGAAAGTGTCTTTTCTCAAATTCTCACTCACATGGATCGATGTAACTGGCAAATCAATGTAATTGAAAAGTTCATGATGATATTTAACTGACATACATGATGAGAAAAATACCATGACCTTCTTCTTGCGATTCTTTTTCAAAAATGTGAACAAAACCAATAACCGTTTTTCGGATGGACAAGCAATGTAACCTTGTTCGAGCCCAGTGACCGTTGCTGTGTCCTTATTATCATCAACACCAACATAAATTGGTTCCTTCTTCAGTGCAAGTTTTGTAAGTGCGTCTATTTTATCGGTTTGAGTGGCTGAAAATAGCATTGTTTGTCTACGTTTGGGAAGAAGATTAACAATTTGTTTCAAGTCCTCTTCGAAACCGATTTCAAGAATACGATCAACTTCGTCAATAATTAAACACTGTAGGTTCTTGTACAGAAATTCGGGTGTGTTTTGCAAATGATCCAACAATCGACCAGGTGTAGCAACGACAATATTAATTCCTTTAGCTAATTTTTCGGCTTCTACGGTTCGATTAGCACCGCCCATAATCAAACCATATGTATGATTATGATGTGCCATCAATTCCTTGAGCACACCGAATGTTTGCATTGATAATTCACGTGTTGGTGAAATGATTATAATGCCAGCACCATTTCGCGGCATAAACTTTAATTTCTTTATCAATTCAACGGCCGGAACAAGAAAAGCCAGTGTTTTTCCGGAGCCCGTTTTAGCAGCGCCCACTAGATCTCGTCCATCCAATAACGGGGCAATAGATTTTGCCTGAATTTCCGTCATTGTACTGAATCCCATTTCTTCTATGGCTTTCAATGTTTCTTTTGATACTCGATCTTTCAATGAACTGAATGAACGGTCGTTCGGTTCTTCGTAGACCCTGTCATTTTTAGACTTTCCATTCTCAATATCACTTTCCATGTTTTGATTATTTTCAGCATCATCATCATCACCAGAACCACTTGCTTCTGGTTGTGTTGCACTTGATTCTTTCCGCTTCTTTTTCCCTATAAAGAGGAAAATATAATTCAGTCATTCATTTTACCATGCTGCCATATATCATTAATAATTCAAAAATATATCAGATGAATAATATTTCATTTCATAATTGTTAGCTCAACTGGATAATATACAGGACGGAGACGTGTAACTCAACATGCTGTACATTATCGCAGGAGCACTCAAATTCGCCTTGTATTCCTCATATAATTTTACATGGGTACTGAATCCTACGATAAATCTTTGCTATGAAAAAACTTCTTACTCATTTTCGCATCTTCGCTGGAGTCCTTTTGAGTTTCTGAGTTAGCCTTTCGCTTCTTACTATTTTCGTCGATCTTCTGGCTTCTTACGAACTGACCAGAAACATCTATCAGTGATAAGAACAAGGTAAAATAAAACTATCGGTAAAAGAACTCAATCTAGTGCACACTCACGTTCAGTTTCGTCAACCGATGATTCAACTGTAGTTTTGTCCACTTGTTTACTGGCTGCAAGCTGCTTTTTAACTTTTTCACGCTTTTTTATTTTCCTCATTAGTATCTTTTCGGGAACAACCATTGTACTTTATTTTAATTTCTGTTATTAAATATCCAAGAAGTGAACTTCTGGAATTTCGCATAAAAATAACAGCGCGCACAGTTTCACGTGTGTTTATGTGCTGTTGAAAGTGACAGTCGATATAATTCACCACTCAACCACATGGTTTTGCGATGTTAGCTACGATTTGGTGAATTTGGTCAAGCTATTCATAACACAACATTTCGTAAATAAAGAGTTTAGAGGAAACATTTTTATAAATTTATTTTCAATCCATTTCTATCGATATTCAAAATTCCAACTGGATTCGATTTCTAAATATTTCCATTATCTTTCGACAAGATTCATGATTTTCGAATTCGCCGGGAGAACGTGACCATTGGGTCAGAAAATGGTGAAATTGGTGATTTTTTTTCAAACCTATTTAATATAGCCAGTATGAAATGAAATGGATCAATTTCTTTTTTTCAAAAAATGTTGTTCAAAAATTAAGCAAGCAAAAAATGAGTTGGGCCATACATTTTCTTTATTATCATATCAACCTTTGCGAAAATAATTACATTATTGAAATTGATGAAAATATGTGAAATCATCAAATCATTTCTGCACTTTGGCCATTTCTTCGGATTTTTCGCGCAATATCAAAGCAGCCTTGTCGGTGTTCTCGGTCCGTTCATTTTTTGGCGCTACATTCTCGGTATCATTCGTGGTCCGTACTGCATTTAATTCGCTTTTTAGCACATCGATTGTTTGTTGACATTTGGCCAAATCATTGTCTTTTTGCGCCAGTACTTTGTCAGTGTTAGCGATTTTTCTTTTCAATTCGTCGAATTGCAATCGGCTCTTTGCAATTTCATTTTTCAGTTCGATATTCAATTTGTCAATTCGTGACTCTTTGATTTCGATAAGCAGTGCATACTGTTGGCAATGCGTACAATCTTTTTTATCAAAATCGAGAAACACTTTCTGTGTTGATTGGCAGTTTTTCTGGCAGTTTGGGCAAGTGGGCGATCTTAGCAGAAAAATAGCAATATTCCATATTAATATACAATGAATACAAAATCATAATACACAAAACTCATTTCAACACTTACTTTTTTGTCCAGACTGTCAAACATTTTTCGTGGAAAATATGTCCACAATGCACCGATAAAATCGAATCGCTTGGATTGTAGTCCTCGCAACATATTGCACACACAACTTCCATAGTGTTTGCAAAAAATGTTTTTTTTTTTGTGTAAACAACGAACAATGGTCAAAGTGTGTCTAAATTTACTGAACGTCAGCACATTGAAAATGTTACTATGTTGTCGAAAAGTACCGCAATCCTTTACAATGCTTTGCTCTGCATCGAACGCTAAACACGAATGAAGAAGTAAGAAAAGAATAACCGTTGACTGTTACGATGCTGTTTCATATTGTAGCAGTTTTCATGCAACTGTAGGATATTCGAAAAACAAAACGGTATGACAGAACAAAGAGAATAGTTAGTTAAATAAACGTTTAGTTTTATTAATGCTTAATTGATACAAACTCATATATATTTATAAAGAAACTAATTTGATTGAACCTCTAATACCCAGAACATAAAATGTGTTGCATAAAAATAGAAAATATTCTTATAATTATATTCTGTTTAGAACAAATGTAAAATTAATTCTTTCTTTTTAGTTTTACATTTTTTATCACTGGAATCATGATATATTCCCAATTATCAATATTACCGCAGAATGGAACCACGGCCTTACAGTTCATCAGCTCATTTGCATGCAATCTCTTAAATGGCTTTGAACAACCGTACATACTTAATAGTTTCAATGGCCATATCCCTTTGCAAATAGTCTGTAGAACTCGAAACATCCCGGTGTGTTCGTTTGTTATTTTTTTCAGTTGTACAGTGAGCTCTTGCACTCGTTGATTTGTAATTTTCCGTTCAATATCGTATTCACGGATAATGTCATCTTTAAGCAAATTCTCCGATTGAATCGCCGCCGTAGCATGTTCCAAAGCATCTAATCGTTCATTTAACTCGTAAATATCATGTTCACTTGCTTTAATTTTCATTTGTAGCTCTTCAATGCATTTCAACGCATGATTATTTTGATCAATTAAATTTGCACACTCTTTTGATTTTTCATTCAAAGCTTGTGCAAATTTTTCTTTTTCAGTTTGCAAATCGTCAAATGCTTCAAGAATTGACTTGCAAAATTCACAATCATTATCACGTTCAGTCTCCGTCTCTGGCAAAGTATCAATATGGTCCAGAAGAAGTTTGATCGTTTCTTCCGTATCCGCATCAGTTGCTGTATTCTGCACATTTCCTGGTGTTTGGATGCATGCAAGATCTTCATCAGAAGCAAAATCGATGTAGATTCTTTTCATTTGATCTTGATCACAAATTTGACAGCATTGAGGACACGTTGGTGATCTATTCAGAATTATGGATGAAAATGGTATTTATATTTTTCAAATGGGCCCATACTTACGACGAATTAAACCATTGTTGTAGACATTCGTTGTGATAAACGTGTCCACAAGGCTTTGATGTTATGGCTTCAGTTTGGATAAAGATATTGTGACAAATGAGACAATAAGGCATCGACATAACTATTTATTGAAATCTTCAAATGGAATTTTGTAATTGTTTTCTTTAGATCAATTTGTATTTTATAATTACTTTATCAAACATCTGAATTTTAATTTCAAGTTAGAAGGAAATGTTCAACTCAAAACAGAAATATGCAATAATAAGTAATGGAAACGATGACATATCGGACGAATGAATGGAAGAACAAAAGGAATTGCAAATACATAAATTTGTTTAGATAAGCGAAAAAGCATTTACGTTGTTCTGAGTATTTCGCAATATCTTGCGCTGTTGTTATTTTGTATCGCGCAAATCAAACTTACCACATTCGTAAATGGGTGACTTACTATTCGCCAACGATGACTGAATTCAACACAGTCACCACAAACACAAATGTCAATGGAATACATCTAAATAATAGATTTCATATAGCAGCCATGATGGTTATTCTGTCAAAGCGGCCATACTAGCCTTTCGTACTTCCTCTCTGGCTTTTTGACTTTCTTTTGCGAGTTACTACAAACTGCGTAAACATGGGTCGTATGCACGCTCCTGGGTAAATATTCATTTTTTCATACAATTTTCTGTGTTTTACGGTATATTTCGATTGAATGTTGAATGTTATGCTAATAAAAGAATAAGTGAAATAAAATCCATGATTTTTTTGCATTAAAAGGAAGAAATTCCGTGCGACTTTTTAGTGCACATGGTTTCACGTTTTGTTGATGGTTTTTATTGTATGCTTATGGCAATATCAAATCAAGTGTTCTTCAATGTAAATTGATGGAATTGTTTTTAATTTCAGTAAGGGTATTTCCCAATCAGCTTTGCCATACCGTCGGTCGGTACCATCCTGGTTGAAATTGAACGCCGAAGATGTTAAAGAGCAAATCAAGAAGCTCGGCAAGAAGGGTATGACACCGTCTCAAATCGGTAAGTAATTGAGGTTATGTCACAATAGCCGATTCAAACGTTCCTCTATGAATTATTTGTTTATTTGATAGATAGATTTGCCATTCTGTTAACATCAATCGCACACAATACTCACGATAGCTTTTTCCCTTCTCTTTCCTTTGGATTTTTCCCTCAAATAGGTATCATTCTTCGTGATTCGCACGGTGTTGCTCAAGTTCGTTTTGTGAGCGGAAACAAAATCTTGCGTATCTTGAAATCGTTGGGTTTGCGTCCAGACATCCCAGAAGATTTGTACTATTTGATCAAGAAAGCTGTTGCTATCCGCAAGCATTTGGAACGCAACCGTAAAGACAAAGACAGCAAGTTCCGTTTGATCTTGGTCGAATCACGTATTCACCGTTTGGCTAGATTCTACAAGACAAAGAGCGTATTGCCACCAACATGGAAATACGAATCTAGCACAGCATCAGCATTGGTCGCCTAAATTTCATTCCGGGCATTCTGCGTGTGTTTTTTTGGAAAAATGTAAACATTTTCTAAAACAAAAAACCTGAATATAAAAGTAAAATTACGATAACAAAAATTGTGTGCAAATGCAGTGTTTTTATTCTTTTTTATTTTTGTTTTTGTTCAATGAAAAAAAAGTGTATTGATATAAGTGTATCACATATTTATACAATTCTTACAATCAAAAGAATCTTTGATATGAAAGGTAACTGTTGGACCAAAAGCATTCTTAATTTCAATCTGAACTGCAGCAATAATCCCATTGTAAATTTGATGCCAGCGACAATTCAATTTTTTGGTTTTCCTAATAACGAGAGATATCAGTTTACTGTTAAAATCAAGGGGCAAACCACTCTAAAGTAATACTGCGTATTAGTATTACTTTAAGTAATACTAATGTAAATATTACCTTGTATTACTTTAGTATTACTTTTTTCAAACCATAGTATTATTTTTAAAAGGAGTATTACTTTATCATAAGTAATACCACTTTTACCTAGTATTACTTCGTATTACTTCGCAGGTATTATGTATTACTTTTGAGTGGATTGCCCCTTGGTTAAAGTCCTATAAAATAGGTAACACTTATTTACCTGTGCAAGTATTTCAAGAAAATAGCCAATTCACATAGTTTTTGAGCGCGTGCGAACTCCTGAAAAAATCCCAATACCACCTGAACGTCATTGTAGGCGGGATCATTACAATTATCGAGCCAATTCGTTAGAATTGGCCGCCATTCCTTAGAATTTAAGATGTTCCCTTCAGATATGTGCTTAATGAAATGAGAAAAAAAAACATCATCGTATATCATCGATACGCTAAAACTTAAACATGCTTACAGACGGATCTCTTTGATGTATTCGTTTCGTAGATTCATTGTCAATGTCATCAAAATCAATTTCCAACTTACGAGCCAATACTTTTTTCACAGTTATCGGTCGTAGTATTTTGTTATCATTTGTTTCTCTCTTCGGAATTCTGTTTTTCTCCCGTAGGATTTCTTCTTGTATTTCGTTTGGCAGCTCGGCCAAAACACTCAAGTCTAGTTCGTCGTATATTTTTTGTAATTTTCTGTTTGAAGAGTTTGGTTTAGGTTTGTCAACCATATCACGTGTTGGTGTGTCGTTGAAACTTTTCACTTTCCGGAAAATGGGTTTTCGCTCACATTGGTCACTGTTGATACATCCATCCTTTTGGCCAATGGCTGAAGACTCGGCATTACAGGTTTTCAATTTTTGTTTGGCTTGAACTTTTTCAAACATATTCTTTAACGAATTTTTCCTATTATCATAATTCTGAAGTGTGTTTAGTTTCGATATCTGAATACCAATTCCGCGCAGCTCATGGCATGGCACATTCAATATCTTTCTTATATTGAATACCGTTTGAGAAATGACCATTACATCACATGTATAATTTGCTAATGTGACCGATTTTGTCAAATTCTCGCAGAATCCATGTCCAAGGAATTTAGCTGTCTCTACCGGAGCATCTTTGGCCCGCACCATATATTTCAAAGTGATTGTTCTACCTTTTGCTGATATTTCAAGAAGACGATGCTGCACCTCGGTACATAATCGCCTCAGAAAATTGTCTAGTTCGTGCTCTTCAGTGAACCGAATGCCGTAGTTAATTTCAGCACTCACTGATTTCCTCACCTTCGTTTCAAAAGCAAAAAAAAATATACACAAGAAAATTAGTAATGCGGAAAAATCCAATTTTTACCACTTTTGATAAAGAGTATGTTATAAAAGCCACTGGCAATATATTTTAAGTTTGAGGATGTTTTAGTAAAATGCTTACTTGATCGTACACCAAAAGTTTGTTATCAATTCCACGACAATTTTGGTATAAAGTTTCACCCAATTTTTTTCCAAATTCTTGTTGTAACTTCGTTAATGGAACTCGTTGTAAGTCAGTGCATGTTTTTAAACCCAAATTAGTACACTTTTGTGTTGTTGAATACCCAACTCCGGGCAATTCGCTAATCAGAATGTTACCGAAGTATTCCTCAACATCCTCGCTGTTCGTAGAAAGAAAATGCTGTCCATTAGGTTTCGCTTTTTTCGTAGCCATACGCGCTTGAAGCCTACAAGTATAATAAAAAATTTCTCATTGACTTATTGTTCCACATTTTCAATTTAATTGATAGCTTACTTGTTCTCTCCAATTCCGGCCGAGCAAGGACATTGTGTTTTGTCAATAATCTCCTTTCGAATGTGTGATACGAATTCGTCAACTGAACAACCCAATGCTCCTAAAACACCAGCTAGATCAACGTACATTTCATCACAGCTAACTGCCTCTATATCCAAGGTGTATCTTTTCGAGAAACATACATTTTACTGACACATATTCAAAGAATGGAAAGAAAAATGCAAGCATGTTTGGTCTGTAATAATAATAATAATGGGAGCATACTGAGTGATTGTGTTGTAAAGAGATTGTGCCACCTCTTTGTAAGCATCGAAATCGTATGGGATAGTTATAAGTTGAGGACACAATTTCAAAGCAGCTCCAACAAACATGCCATTTTTTAGGCCCATTTTCCTTGCTTCATAACTACAGGACGCGATCTCCGATAACGATGTCGTTTTATCGATGAGAGTTTTAGTTCGGTCATTCAAATCGTCATTCTTCGATTGGTCTGTATTGTATTTTTCATCGTGTCGTTTAATATATAATTCCATTTCTTTCCTTCGATCAACGTCATTTGTACTGTTAATGTTGTTGCTATTGTGTCCCTTTGAATGAGTAACTGCAACCGGGAAACCTCTCAACTGTGGCCTTGATCGAAGGCCGACGGAAACAAAAAAACAGTCCATGTCAATATGCATGATTGCTTTTCTACTGTATCTCTCTGTTTCTTTTTCTTTTGAAGATTGACGCATTTGCATTATCTCTTTGAGCCGATTCAGAGCCGGAAATTGACCATCGTCGCATGATTCACGTAACTGTGAGATATATTGTTTGAACGACGCCCCAAGCGTGGCGATATGATGCAATCGAGACTGATTGTAGAACTCGGAAATGAAGTTTGGATCAACCGCTGTTTTTGCGAGACCTTTCTTAAATTCATTCTTCACTTGATGCTCGCTTCTACTCACATCTGAAACTGTATCCATTTCTTTGCTAGGTTTCGTTTGCTCTTCGCGCCTAATTGCCGTATTAAGAATATCCAAATTCAATACTATGTCCAATTTTGTGGGCTCAGCATGGATTTCATCGTTAGTCATGCACTCCCCAGGTGGTGGTTGCACAATGGAATCATGATTTATTTTTGATTCTTTCTCTTTGAACGCTATTTTTGGTTGTGAAATCTTACGATTTGTATACAGTAGATAGTTGGAATAATCCAGGATTTTATTCGCATTTAAACAATCGACAATCCATTGTGGACTGATTATTTTGGCAGTCGTGATTTGACGAATCTTTACATCTGGCAAATTGTTTGCGATAACAAATGTTGTTGATCTTTTCTGGTACGCATGATAGATACCTGTGCAGACAATAAAAAAAAACAATCAATTCAAGGAGAATTCTAGTTCTTGAAATATTGTTACCGCTGTGAGTTATCATAATTCGTTTGAGCTCTTCTGCTGATGGATTTGTTAGGCCATTCACAAATATCGATATGCCCGCGAATAAATTCGATGCCTTGTAAGGATTTTTCAATGCGTCTTCCGCAAATTGTTCCTCCAGCTTCGATTTCTTCGCATCCATATATCCACCCTTGAAGTTGACACATTTAAATTTAGAATTATTTTTCATATTCAAAATTACATGAAATTGTTGAATGATTTACCCATTCACCGAATCCATTGTCAAGGTCAACATTTTTCTTCGGCCGCTTCCGCATGGCGAATAAACGGCTAAATTTTAAAAACTGTTATTTGTAGGAAGCCAAATTAAAAATAAACAGAAGTAGCAACAAATCGATCTGTCAAGAGAAATGAAGAATAAAAAAAACGTCATGACTGTGTAATTGCGTCGTAGTAAACTGCGTGCAGATGGTGCTAGCAATGCTCACCGTTGCCAACCTAACACAGTAAAAAACGCATGAAAAATGCAAGCGATTGGCTGTATGTACCGACATTGACAAACCACACAAAGTTAAAACTAATATTAATGAAGTACAGATTAAAACATTCTTTTTTTTTGCCGTAAATCGTGAAAATTTGATGAAATAAACATTTTGGTTGGAGGCAAACGATTAGTATTTGTGTTAATAATAGAATCACAATAAAATCTACCGAATTGAATTGACCGTAAATGGATTAGACGAGTTTGAAATTTCACTCATTAATAACAAATAGTTTTGTAATGGCCGATTTGGACGCTGTGAATCTTGGTCTGGATGAAACTGAAGTTGACATGACGGAAGGTATGCACGAATTAGAAGAAACATTCGATACACGCAGTGAGGCATCTGGAAATTCATCCAGCTCGTCGTCGGGTAGCCCAAGCATCAGTTCAGTTAGCACCCGATCATCAAAAAGTGCAAAAGTACGCCGATCGCATTTGAACCGTGAACGAACTGCAAACAAAAAATCAAATAGTCCGAGCCCAGACAATGCAAAAAAGCAACAGAAACAGAATTCCAATCATCAGAAAAAGAGCGAAAAGAGCAACAATAATTCGACCAAATCATATGATTATATCACGAAAATCAATTACTTATTTAGGGAGACAAGATTTTTTGTTATTAAATCAAATAATGCTGAAAATGTGAGTTTATCAAAGTCAAAGGGTGTTTGGTCAACATTACCACAGAACGAAGCAACGTTGAATCAAGCGTTCAAAGAAAATCGCAATGTCATCCTGATCTTTTCTGTGAAAGAAAGTGGGAAATTCGCTGGCTTTGCCCGAATGGTTGGCGAATCAAGACGAGATGTTCCGGCTGTGTCATGGGTATTGCCTCCAGGTATATCGGCAAAAGCTCTCGGTGGAGTCATTGAAGTCGACTGGGTTTGTAAGAAGGAGCTATCATTTACATCCACTGGACACTTATTTAATCCGTGGAACGAGGGAAAACCAGTGAAAATTGGTCGAGACGGACAGGAAATTGAGCCAAAAGTTGGTGCTGAGTTATGTCGCCTATTTGAAGAAGATGAATCCATTGATTTGACACCGATACTGAAAAAGTCCAAGGAATCGGCTCGTATTTTGCGCGAAAAAGGTGTAAAACCTGCCTTCAAAATTGCTCCAATTCGACCCAGTTCGATTGGAAACGGAAGTGGTATTTTACAAAGAAACCGCGGCATCGCCAGTATTCGTGGCCGAAAGAAGCTGTTTGGCTTAACCACTCGTAGCAAACTGAACAGTGTGGCCAATTCAAGTATATTCAAGCGTTCAGCATCACCATATGTTAAACGTGATCGTTCTCATCATTATGAGCGGTACAGCTCAACAGCAGCAGCCGAAGCATATGTCGCTGATTATATGCGTACTATGCAACATCAGCTCCCACCAATGCCATACGCACCCCCGCCTGGCTTTGCATCAATGATGCAATCACCTTATGAAGCTTTGCCCCCGCCACCACCACGGTATTATGATATTCCATCGTTGGGAGAGTATCCTCCGCAGTTACCAACTATTCCATCACGGTCATCAAATTCTCGTCCATACGACCGCGACGAATTATATAGAAAACTTGTTCCACCCCCGATCTATTCACGTGATTATCACCATTCGTCGACATCATCGACACGGGAAAGAGATCGACGGGACGACCGGAGTCATCGAAACCGAAATAGCAGGCGATGATAATCTCACACAGTCATTCAAAAAAATATTCTCGCACCGCAAGAATGTAATAGGTGATGATAATACAACAGAAACGAAAACCAATCGTCTCAATACAACACTACCGAATGACATAGTTTTCATTTTTATAAACATTTCTTCAGCAGGGAAAATACTTATTGATATTTCCACATAAAGATTATCATGTTAAACAAGATTATTCCTCTGAAAGATATACTTCTTTGATAGCCTAAAAATAAAAGTTGTACCGCTAATAAGTCGAAGTAAAGCTCCAAAAAAATCGATGAACTAATAAATTAAAGAAGAAATTATAACAACCGAATGAAAACAAAAACGGTTGTATGTATACAACTTTAAATTACGGTTTACATTTACAAGCCACAACACAAATTGAGAATGTGAGAGAATTAGCAGTAATAAGTTCAAGTTGTATGCAACTCGCTGATTGTGATGTCAACAAAAGTAAAAAAACACAACATGAATCATTCGTTTATTAAATTAATTTAAATAAAAATAAGAGAAAAGAAGAAAATGATAAGGAATCGCATGGAAGATAAATCATCAAATAATCTTTAAATTGTTCATAATAATTTAGTCCATATTTTTGTATTTTCAAGAATGAGTTTTGTTTTGAAATTGTCTTCTCATCTAAACAGCAACACTCTTTTTGGAAATAAATTGAAACTCTGAACAAAACGTATCGTTTGATTCACTATTCATGTAGAAATTCGGAAGATCATTTCAAAATAGAGCTCATCGTTTGATTTTCATGAATAAAGAAATCGTTAGAAGATGATTTGACGTTTTTCTCTTTTTATTTTCTAATATATTTCTGAAGATTTTCTTAGAATTGAAACACAATGAATAACTTCTTTCCAGCCAAAGCTCTAAATCAAACCTCGACATTATTCACCCAGGGCTTGGCGATATTAAATAAAATTAAAATAAAATAAAAACTATTAAAGAAGTTTTTAATAGTTGAAATTTAGGCTGAACCAATATCATTTCTCTTCCACAGCATGCAATATCAGGAAAAACAAAATTTAAAGTGCAATTACGGTTTTAGAAGAACAAATTGAGTAATGCGATTTTCAATTAATTTAATTTTGATAAAACTCAATTTTCTCCGTATTTTGGTTTAAACCAACTTAAAATGTGGCACATTCTTTTGTGAAAGATTTCGGAGAAAATACGGAAAAATCATATTCTCCACACAAATGACCTTCGACGCGAATTGGTGCTTCTTTTGCTTTAGTTGTAATTTTCCCTTTGAAATTGCTGAGATAACGCATATATCGACTAAACACAGTTGAACCAACGAAGCAGTGCCAATTGTTCATGAAATCTGAAATAAAGTTAAATTTTCCCAATAATTTTTTTATCAATTGTGTGAAAATTAACAGAATGTTCAAAGATCGACTCAATCATCAAGCGCTCATTAGAATTAAAAACATTTGAATAAAATCGACAATCGAATGCATAAGTATATAAATTCAACTGAGTGTGCCATTCAAAGTCGTCGAACGCACACTCTTGTCTTACATTTTGTTTTGTTTACATATACCAGAGACGTCGAGCTGAACTACCTCGCGCACACACATACAGCAACACATACACTCAATTTTGGTCTTCCATTTGCTTTGCACTGTGGATGTATATAAATGAAAATACCATTTTTACGTAGCTTCATGGGTACATTGTGTTTGCGTTTATCAAGTAGTTCATTTTCAAGAGCCGGCAGTAAGTGAAGTGGATTCTTTCGTCTTGCGCTCGGTGTCTATACATTAAAAAACACGGAATAAAAAAACTAATAATTTTGCTTGGTAGTGTATATCATGTTCAAAACCGAATAGACTGAGCGAAAAAAAGAAACAGAGCGACACACAGTAAACAGTCAGCACGTCAACACAAACGATAGACTATACACAATTTCACATACATACAAGAGACAGAAATTGGGAAATTCGACACAATCAGAAGCAGTTGCAAAAGTAAAAGCATCGAAAGAGCAGGCAGAGAGTTAGAAGACACCCAAAAAACACGACACATGAAAAGATTTTGCCTTTAATTCAGATGTTCTCCTTTCGTCTACATTGATTTTAATGAAATATAGTGAGGTGATCTCGCGATTACTCTAATACAAAATAAAAAGTAGTCGGCATAAAATCATTGCGCAGCTTTTATTCGAAAAAAAGCTGAGAAATTCAAAAGGCAGGGGAATTCACTTCGAAGACAGTAGAATCTAGGTTGTGTTTCATAAGTTTTATGAACAGCACATTTTATCGAATTCAATAAAAAAAAATTGAATTGATTGAGTGAGTGTGTATAGTGTTTTGAATGTAGAATCCATTTTCACAATACAGTGTCAAAAGTTGAATCCGACAATATGAAAAGATGGTTATAATATTTCAAAAATATAAACGATTAATTTAATATTTCGACTAAACACGGATCATTATAAAAAAAACTGTATCAACAATTTTCCATTTTTTTCCCCAGAAAAAGACTCTGCAATAATAATTGTGGATTTGAAGAAAAATTTGTTTATGGTCTTTGTAGGAAAATGTCCAGTGACTACACAGTATAGGATTGTTTTTCCATTCAATTTTATATTAAAATCAAGTGTGAATTTGGCTAAGTGAATGATACTTCTTTGTTTGTGTTTTGACAAAGCAACCCGCATGCACCACAACATATTAGGAAATGTTGGTATCATATTAAAATAAATAAATAAATGTACTGAAACGAGTCAATCAGCAGTGTGAGGTTTTATCAATTTGATTAAATACGGAAATTGAAATAAAAATAAACTGAACAGTGGAATATCGCAAGGCGTAACATCAGCAATTTCATAACGATAACGATGTGTAAGTTATAGAGAGAAAACAATTTTGAAATGTTTATAGGTTTTGTCTTCGAAAAAAGACTTTGTTGCATACAGAAAATGTTTCGATAATATTTCGTAGACATGGGGATGCCAACATAGTATAAAGGTCTAGGGCGGAACAGCTATCGAAAAAAAAATCCGCCACGACGCTAAGAACCCATAGAAAAAAGCATAGCAGTGCTACCGTCTGTACGTTTCATATACACAATGCCGAAAGAGCGCAGATGCAATCTGTCAATGACTTGGTCATATGTGTGCGTGTCTATGTATATGTGTGTTTGTGCTGATACAGTTGAACAAGATTCCCAATGTATGCGCTTGTCTAATCAGACTCATTGAACAGTATTTTATCATTTATTTTCATGATTAATACTCTGGATAAAATGGAACCAAACGTACGAAACGCTGAATCTATTTTTCATCTTCTAGAAATCACTTAGTGATAGCAGGAGCAATGCAAATAATAAAAAAATGCGTTTAAAAAATAATAGGAAAATAAATAAAATACAAAAATACCAATGTATCTGTGCTAATTAAAGCTGGACTTACTTGGATGCATCACATCGTATTAATATCTCAAAAATATTGATTTTTTTAGCCAACTATGATTTTCAAGTGATTTCCCCGAACTACTTACGGTTATATAGGATTTTGAAGTTAAATGAATAGCGGTTCACATTGTATAATGCAATTGTATCGTATGGTCATGGTCAAGACATTCAATGGCAGTGAGGTAACAAAAGCAAAATCAGTGTAAATCGTCACATTGTCATATGGTCATCCGTTTGCATGTGGGAGCTCACAGCAACAACGCAAAATAAATAACCATTCATAGAAGTATTTAGCACGAAATGATGTATCTATAATTCGTTCTATCATGTCATGGAACCAACCAGATACTTCAACGAAATATATATTTGGTCTTCTATGCTCATAAAAGGCAATAATTTTTACCTACGTAAAAAATAAAGATGATGAACCCGAACGTATTCAATCTTAATTGCAACTGACTCGAAGAAATCGTATATAAAATATGCAAATGGATTTTGTAACAAACCTGCTGTCCCAAAAGTGACATTTTTATCTATGTGTGCCCAATTAACATGAACTCTAGGGTGAATTATCATTCTTGGAAAAATTCAATAATTTCGGTGTGTTGTAGAAGATATCCACTTCTATCCACTTTTATCCACTCCTACTCACAGAATATCCACAGAATTTCCACTCATATTCACAGATATTCAGTGTTTCTTATTTGGACAGTTCAACCGTTCTCAACATCTTGAATTTTTTTATTTAAATTCATTCACGTATTACTTTTCGTTAACACAACGTGTCAAGGGAAAGTATAGGAATTGGTCCCGAATTTTTTTCTCGCAAAATTGGTTTAGATCATAATAAAAACTCATGAAACGCGTAGAAAACCACTTTTTGAGACACTTTTCCGTTCGTGTGCCGTCGTCGTCGTTGTCGTCGTCGTTGTCGTCGTCGTTGGTGTTTGTTAACACGATAACTCAAAAAATAATTGAGATAATCAAAATCTGGAAATGCCAAAAGTTTTGTATCCGAAAAACTTAGTTTAAGTTCGAAGATGAGCCTAAGAAAAACCTCAAAAAATTGACACTTTTGTATGGGAGGTACCCGTAAATCGACTCCGATTGGCTTCAAACTTTCTGGGATTTCATTATGGAAGAAAAATAAGATTCCCAAAGTTTGAAACCAATCGGAATCAATTTACGGGTACCTCTCATACACATTTTTTTAAATTTTGACTAAAACTACCGATTTTTGGACAATTTTGTATGGGAGGTACCCGTTAATCGATTCTTATTGGCTACAAACTTTCTTAGGTTTCATTTTTTGGAGAAAAAATAAGATTCTGAAAGTTCCATGTTGATCGCATTTGCAAAAGTTTGATTTTATGTCCTCAATTTTTGTCGACATTTTCTTGGAAAAAATTGAGGGCCAAAAACCAAACTTCTGCAAATGCGATCAACATGAAACTTTCAGAATCTTATTTTTTCTCCAAAAAATGAAACCTCAGAAAGTGTAAAGCCAATGAGAATCGGTTTACGGGTACCTCCCATACAAAATTGTCGAAGTATTAGTTAAAGTGACCGATTTTCACTTTATTTTTATTATTTTATTTTCACTGCCTTTATTTAAAGAAAATTCACAAAAAATAACCAAAAGTACCTACGGACAACGCAGGCCAACGGTACGGAAAAGTTCGGGATTACCAATGTAATTCTTTTTATATTCACAATGTTTTCGAAAATTCAATGAGAAAATATCTATATTATTCAGAAAGATTCACGAAAATTCACAGTTTTAAAATTCGAATGAACCCCTAGCATGAACTATTGAAATGATACATTCAAATTCCAATCAATCAGACATTGTTTTTGGTGATTTTTATTTTAATGACAACTAATATTGAATTGGTGTCTGAGCAAAAACATACACTTTTTATTCCAATAAAAAGTCTGTGAAACATACACTGTCAATCTCACCCATAGATATTAAAGTTCTAAAATCCAGTTACATTTCAATTCAGAGAGTAAAATTAGTAGTACCTTTCCAGAAACCTTATAATTATTTCAAAGTCTCATATAAAAATGAATAGATTGACACAGGCCCGTAGCCAGGATTGATTGTATGGGGCGGCATGACCAATTTTTGGGGTGGCGCGTAATTTTCAATTTTTCAATAGAAATTTTTTGATATTTAATATCCTGAAACTTAATTTTCCCTTGATTTATTGTAAAATTTTCTTCAACTGTCGTCGATTTCAGCTTTCTTGGACTAGCGGCAAATCATTTTCAACCATAAATTCAGTTGCTTTAGTTTCAAATTCGTTGAAACTTTTTTTTCCAAGCATCTCCGAAGATTGTTCAATTTTTCCCATAGAATGTAGAGACTTCTGAATCTCCAGATAATTTGAATTGATTTTCGAAGTAGGTAATATTTGAATAAATAAAAGATAGTTAGATATCAAGTACATATATATGGTACGTTTGTATCGTTGGTTTTGTTTTCATAATATCACCACAATGATATCAAATTATATCTTTGTGTGTAGTAACTTAAATTCAAAGTGATACGCATAAGTTGCGGGCAAAGTTGAATTTTCATTGGAATGAATGAAAATAAAAGGAATCAAGAAATAAAAAAATGAACAAATGCTATGCAATACAATTTTATTTTAGATCTTGACATCACAAGGTAAAATTATTAAATACTCAGCGTATGTTCAGCGAGTATGCAAAAACCTTTTCATTTCTTGGAGAATTAAGTATAACACTATGTGAACATTGAAATGATAATGCTGATCTATGTGTAGACGAATATCAACAAACCACTCGACCGTCAAATTAGGTTGCATTGGTTGATTGTAATCGTTCTGTAGACGGAAAATTTGAACCAGAAGAAAATAAGAACTATTCCGTAAGCTTGATATGTTTTTTTAAGTGTCGGCAGAAAAGTGTTCGCCGCTCATGTTGCATTCTATTTGAGACATAACGGGGAAATTATAATGATATTATAAGTGAAACTGTTATTCGACAGATCAATAATCACGCGCTGAACACATGGTACCGTGTCTGGTTTAACGAAAACACACGGCATAACGCAACATGTAAAGAAATACCGCAGGTGAAATGCAATATTTTCACATTTAATACGATTTGATTCTTCTTACTATATCCCAGTTTATCTGCTGTCTCATCCATTTACTGCGCAAATAAGCACTTACAGCAAATTAAATAATCAAGCAAAATCAAGTGTATAGACATTTATATAATATATATTTTCATATACATTGTATATGATTAGAGGATTGAAAATTGACTAATTAATGGACATCAAAATTCGATGGAAAAAAATGGATAAACATTTTCTTGGAAACGTTCGATTTTCAGTAGTAGTTTCAAGGTCAATAAAGGGGGTACAATCACATGATAACAAAACCAACTATTTTTTTCGATTTATTATGAAAATCGTTAGCTAGGTTGGATAAATATATTTAATAAAACCTATGTTGGTGTCGGTATCTTAACATTAGAGGTACTGATACAGTGTCCAACAACGTCCAGTCCGCTTTGCTCTGCTATTTTAAGTATTTTTTCGATACAGTTTTGTTTCTTCTTTTGGCGCCCTTGACGGGCAATGAGATATAATGTGTTATTTGAAATGTGCTCGATAATTTACACACATATATCTGCCTATCTGCAAACGAAATATTTTTCATCGTTTGTAGAAAAACTGGCCTACCAAATTATCCCGACATTGAAATAACTTCCTCCGTGGGTTGAAAGGAAAATCAGATTACTCTTAATTGTGTTGTATGAATTGTGATCATTCTTTCTTGCTTCAAATAGTAAAGAATAAAATAATTATTTCAATATTAAAATATCTCATCATTTAATGCTGGTAAAGTTGCATAACCGATATTCTCTTCACAACCTTCTTAGGCAAATTTTCTTTTGAATAGAAGAGAAGCAATCGGCTTCACAGTCAATAATGGCTTTTATGTGTGCATTCATATACAAGTCTATTAGCAACTCGCCACGATCCCATGCATACACATAATGGGAAACAATGAAACAAACACTGAAATTCTCCCAAAGCATAATTTATCAAAGAAGTGCGTATTATTATTGCTTGTAAATGTTTTGTAGATATAAATTGAGCTTTGTAGCGTTGTAAAATGTGTGAAAGAAAGAAAAACAACATCAACGCAACAATTTACGTAAATAAATGTTTGTACTATTTGAGTCGTACAGTAAAAACAAAATTTTGCTTACACTTTTTTTGCTTGTTGATGCAATGCAATTGTATGCCATTTAGTTGTGTATTATAGAAGAAAAACTAGTACTTGGTACACTTCTGCCGATTTTTTTTTGCTATATTGCACATCTACTCATCACATAGATGAACTACGTTGGAATAGCTGTACAATATACACGTAAAAACCGTTTT